TCCAACTCCTCTTCTGAAATTGAGAAGAAAATCAATTTCCCTTGTTTATGAAGGGCTGTTATTTATTTCTATTGACTGAGTCATGCATCACTCTACTTCCTAAAGCATGACTTTTTAAACAATTTTTTAAGAATAGAATTAGAACCCTACCGATGGCTATCTCAGGACATAGTAAGAATTCTTCCAGACCACAAAACCTTGATAAGTTGATACTCTCTCAGGAAGACTGGCATTTAATTTTGCGCAGATGTCTTATTAACTGACCTAGAAGTATGTGATCCAAACCTCACTTCTTCTCCTTTGGTGGCTCCATTTGTTTGGAATGGCAAGCTTATCTAAAAGAAGGCAGTTTACCAGGGAGGCAAAACCGGCCCTGGATCTTACAGGCATCTCCTTACCACTGTTCCCTTCCAGGTGTTGGTAGCTTTCTTGGTCCTCATAAATCTCATGCAGAGAGAATCCTGGATTAGTGATCAGCATGAGTAAGCCCCGTTCTCTGTAAAATTATGCTCCTAGAGGGCTGGAGGTGTAACACAGTGGTAAAATGCCTGCCTGGCACGCATGAGGCCTTGATTTATTTCTACTGGGTAATGGCTAATCCTTGCTGCTTAGGGAACTGAGATCTCAGTATCACAATTCAAAGCTAGCTGTGCAGGAAAAGTCCGTGAGACACTTATCTCCAATTAACCACCAAAAAGTCACAAGTAGAGCTGTGGCTCAAGTGGTAGAGCATGCTATTCTTTGAGTGAAAAAGTTAAGGGATAGTGCCCAGGCCCTGAGTTCAAGCCCCAGGACTGGTACAACAACAACAACAACAATAATAATAATAAGATGATGATGATGATGATGATGATACTCTCTGGTCCCCAGTAGGTGACCTGGAGCTTTGCTAATCTGCTTCCAATAAACCTGGGTAGCAGAAAGAAATTCTACACAATAGTTGTTTTGTATGACTCTGATAACGGCCAGATGATCTCTAAGCAGTTAAAATCATTTCAATTTTGCAAAATGTTAAAGTTATATTATTAGTAGGAGTGATACTCATATTTGAATTCAGGGCCGGAGCTTGCTAAACAGGCACTCTACCACGTGAGGCACTCTTCCAAGTCTCTTTCCTGCTTTATTTGTGGGACTCGGTCTTGCTTTATGCTTGAGCCAGTCTGGACTGCGGTCCTCCTATTTGTGCTTTATTACTGGGATGACAGGCACATTATAGCACCCAGTCATTGTGTTTCCTCTATTTAAAAATTACTTTTTATCATAGAAATTGGGTCAATTCCCATTAAGAAAGGTGGACAGAGGGTGACAAGTGAGTTGACTCTCAAATTAGAGAAATGTCCCTGGTCAGTAGGGTTTTCAGCTAACTTCCCCTTAAGTCATTTTTGTAGGGTATGGTGATAAGTCCTTTATCAAATTAAGTTCAAATATCACTAGAAAGTTTGGATGTCCAGCCACTTTAAGTCGTGTTCTCTGCATTGACCTTAGGAAAGAAGAAGGTATTTTTTTCTATAATAGCTCAAGGATTGAAAATGCTATAAAAATAAGAACATCAGTGCTGAGCACTTGAAACATGATAATAGGATGAACAAAGGCATGCTTGGTTGGCTACTGCTTCATAGGCACTGGAGATGAGCAAAGGAGAATTTTTGTTATAAGTCTGTTGGTCCTTCCGTAGCTCCCTTGATCCCACAGCTCTGGGGCTACTGGATTGTTTTTAAAACAGAAAAGCTAACACTCCTGACTTTTGCAAAGTTGACAGACGCGAAAATGTTTCTTTTTAAGTGTATATATGTCAGGAAATGAAATAAGATTACCCATGTTATGCTCCGGAAAATAATACAAGTGAACAAACATTATCTTTAGATAAAGCGACTTCCTAATCCTTTAACGTATTGCACACATTTGTCCTCTACATGTCAGAATCTGAATATGTATGACCTATATTTCTTCCTATCACAGACAATACTACTTATCTGGTTATTCTCTGCTCATTTGCTTTCAGCAATGCTAAACCCAACATTTCACTGTCCAGTTCAATAAGACAAGCCAGTGAGCATGTCCATTAACTAGAAGAGAGTTACGTAAGAGGAAGCCTTCAGGGATTTGCTAAGCAAAATAGTCAAAAAAAAAAAAAAGAAGAATAGAGTCTGTACATTCACTCTCCTGGATTGTCATTATATTTTTCTCTATTAAAGTATATATGTGCTTATTTTTTCTCTATAAAAGTGTACCAGTGCTTATTTCTCTTGTTAAAAAAAAATAACCTTTTTTTCCTCCATTGTGCTTCAAGAAAATTACTCCCATAATTTGTAGATTTCTAATACTTATTCCACAAAGTAGGCCCTAGTTATAGAGATATAGGCAGGCCCCCAAACAAAAACAAACAGCTGTTTAGAAATTAGAGATTCAAGACCCCTCAGGACCTGAGAGAATTACAGTGCCTTTTGTATGTGGCCAAAACTTTCAAAAGCCATTTGGTCATCTGGATTCTAGATAGCCTTGGACCCTGTATTATATATGTAACAGCCGTTCCCTGCAGTTCTATATTTCTAAGTTGGCATTTTGTTTTATTCACGTCATTCAGGAAAATGCACCCCACATACAGGGTATGTTTCCACGTCAAAGCCATCCACTTATTCACAACTAAGAATGTACAGTCACGCGTTAAGAGCTAATCACAAAACTCACCTTCTCCAAAACTAAATCCAGAGAAGGGCACATCTGAAATGCCTGACCTTCAACCACGAAATGCAAGGTCATCAACGCTGTGTTGAAGTGGATGGGAAGGAGTTCAGACACAAGGAATTTAAAAGTACTCCTCTTATTTCACAACTCCAGGAGTCTCTAACGAATCAGTTTCACAGGACTTCTGAAGCGTTGTCCTAACCACCAGGCCTACTTGAGAAGAAGGGCCTGTCTGTCACGTGGAACACACCACTTCTTCTGTCTATGGGGGGTGGGTTTTAAGTGATGAGATAACCTACCTTAGCATAAAGTGTCTGACCTTCCTCTCCCTTCACAGCTATTTCTCTCCCCTGACAGCTACAGTTACAACCTTTTAGACAGCTCCCTGACAAATAGAGCTCTACCAGGTCCCTTGATTTCCTTGATTCCAGCCAACCCTCCTGGCATTCTACCAGCTCACAAGGGAGCCATGAATGGCTGCCGGGCCTGGCCTGTATACTTCCTCTCTGGCAATCCGTGTGGCCAGGCTGCATGGTCTGTGGGGCCACATGAGGTTGCTCCCAGTTCACATTCCATCCTGTCAGGGTTCTCTTAAGAATAAATAATATTTACAGTAGGAGGTCAGAGCTGGCCAATGAAAAAGGGTCTTCAGAGTAAGTAAACTAGGCACTGGAATCCACTGGGCTTGTGAAATTTCATAGAACTGCAGGAATCTTTCAAGTAGATACACTACTACTCGTCAAAACCCCACATTTCTAGAACAAATTAAGATCACAAGAAAATAACACAGGCAAATTATCATGTAGTTTTGACAACCTGAAAATGTTTCATTGAACAAGTTCGGTAAGTAGAGATTAGCTAAGTACTGTGTTTAAGATCCAGCTTTGTATAGTCACTCTCAATAAAAAACGGGACACCTCTGCTTTCTACTAAGGATTTGGGGAACCTGAATGACGTAACTTGGAGATCTCCTTATGAAAATATCTAAAGAGCTGAAGAAATCACATTTTAGGTTAGAGGTCGGTAAACTATTACTTGGGCCAAATTCAACCATCTTCCTGGAAAAGATAGAGAAGACCAAGAGGAGGGAAGAAGGAGGAAGAAGAGGAAGAAGATCAGGAAGGGGGGGAACTAAGGGGAGAAAGAGGAGGAAGAAGGATTTCATGATACAAGAAAACATATTAGCATCCAAATTTCTGTCTTCCTAAATGAAGTTTTATTGAAACACACTCACGCCCACTGGCTGAGTGACTGCAATAGATGATTTCATGGCCTGCAAAATCCAAATCCAAGCTATTTACTGGCTTTTTTTTCCCAGAAAAAGTTTGCCTACTTTAGATTTAAAAATGAATTTTTACCTTTTGGAAATGTCTGATGAAACATGTACCTCCAGCTTAGTTATATTGCCTTTACAGATTAAAGCTTCAAAGCACAGCAAAACATATATTTCTTGAGGAAGTCTAAGTATAATTTAAAAAACTTATGCTGGTACTGGGGCTTGAACTCAGAGCCTTGCACTCTAACTTGGGTTTTCCACACAAAGCTGGCACTCTACCACTTGAGCCACATCTCCACTTACAAGTTTTTAGAGGTCTAATGGACTTTTCTGCTTGGGATGACTTCAAACTATGATCCTCAGAGCTCAGTCTCTTGTGTAGTTAAGATTACAAGTGTGATCTACTAGTACCTGGCTCAATTTCTTTCTAATACCAATTTTCATGTGCCCCGATACCACACTTTGCTCTGTGTGTGTGGTTATCTCCTCTCACTTGTAGCTAGACCTTGATGTAAAGCATCTTGGGTTTCCACAGAGGAGTTTGATAATGTAGAATGCATGGAAAGTCCCTGTCTTTGAGCACAGTCCCATTGAGGGATGGCTACAATAATCTGCTCTGTGAAGGTCATGAACAGTCTCGATTGTAGGCAATTTCAGCCATGCTGCTCATTGGGTGGTGCTTATGGAATGAATGGGAAAATTCAAGTTTGCCTTCTATAGGGTTACCCCATAGCTAAGTCTGTTTGTGTTATCATCTCCAACAGAATCTCAAGCAGGAAGGAAAGGACTTCCTGTGTTTCTAGTAACCTATGGGATTTTCCTTTAGTATGGTACATTACTGATCTTTCTCTGTGTGATCTATCTGTTCCCATCCACAAGCTGACAGGTGGATCTCATCGCTGATACACATCAATCAACTGTCAGATAATAGTCAGATGACAAAGGATAGGCACCGCAGATCTTTTAATGGGAAAGCCACAGAATACATTTTAAAGCCCAAACAAAACAAACAAGAAAAATACCCCATTGGTAAACTCACCTAGAAAAATCTCCCTTTGCTTCCTGTAGAGGGGAAAAAAAAAGAACATCAGCCCAACACACAAATGCAGTGCTAGTCTGTAAAATACCTGCTTTAATCACGCCAGCAACCCTGAGATTACAGCAAGACCTGTATTCTCTCACCCTACTCTACAAGACCTGTTACTCTAACCCCACTACTACAGGAAGACAAGAGGGAGTCCATGCACTTCCCCTGGAATAGGAAACTCGAAAGTTAAGCTTTAGAAAGTTACAAATAAATTGATAGGCAAGTTTTTACTCCCAGGCCCTGGTCTAATGTGTGTGTGTGTTTTCTAAATCTGACGGTGTGTTCAGATAAAACTATTTTCCCCCTTCCCTTTTTCCTTTTCCCCCTTCCCTCCTTTTCCCTCCCCTTCCCTGCTCTCCTTTCCTGCCTTCTTCCTACTTTTCTTTCTTTGAGACAGCGAATTGCTATGTTATGGGTGGATCTTGAACTCTTAGCCTCAAGCCAACCCCTGCCTCATCCTCCCAGATAGCTGGGATTACAGGTGTACACTACTATGCCTGACCAGAACCATTTCTTATGTCACTTTGTCCTGTGAGTTCTTTCTGAATGATACCAAAGACTCAAGAGGTAGGGACATGGAAATTCAGCGAATCAAGACTAAGATCTTGATATGGAGCAGTGCTAAATATTTGCTGAAGGAATCATTTCTACTCACTCCACCATTCTCCCTGACTCTCTCCCTCTCTTACATAAGCTAAAAGCTTAAAAAAATTTTTTTTTTGCTTTGTCATTACAAGTGACACAGAGTGATTCACTAGCAATTCATTCTAGCTATTCACTTGGTTTTTCCCAGGAAAGAAAAGGGTACAAAACTCAAAGAAAGTAGAGCCACTGCTTAAACACCTACTTTCCTTGACAGTGACATACAGTCTTAACAACTTGGAATAGTAAAACCCATCTATAGCCATAGGATCATGCTCTTACTAGCCCCTCCCAGCTAGGAAAAAGAAGACAGAATGCATATGGCCCTGCCTGTGCAGGTCCTCTTCTAGTCTGGGTAGAGCAACTTACCTGTAAAATGTAGGAAGCTAATTCAAATACCACTTCACTGTCAACGTCAATAAGCTCCTGAAAGGAAAAACAGCAGGCAAGGTAAGTTTGGTAATGCTTTATGACTTCTTCACGACAGCACTCTGCAAAGAGACTTAATCTTCCCTGAGGAGTCCCCCAGAATCTCAACACTCAGGGAATATCAGACCACAGATCTGAATTTCCTGCCTCCTGACATTGCTAGACACCCTCCTTATTGCTCTGAACCAGAGACAACCAGTGCTCCTTCCATGGCATCCACAGGCTTCATCCTCAAGTCTGGATGAGACATTACGGAGGGCACCGTGTCCAGCATGTTACAATCTTGTTCACCTCGCTAATCACTGGAGTAGGGGTGCTTGATAATCAATTGCATTTTCATGGTAAATTCCCACTTTAGAACTGGTGGCAAGGTACCGTGGAAAGAAATGCATTAATGGGATCATGATTCTTCATGTTAAAACCAAAGACAGGGAACTTGAAATCTGTGGCTCTTCGGTTACATGGGGGACATTTCTTTCATGTGCTCATAACTCAGGGTAGCAAAGGGCTACCATGTTGTTGGGAACAGAGAACCATTTTATTTATTGCAAAGGCTTCTATGGCTTAAGTCACGATGGGGAGGAGTTCCAGTATGTTTATGTTCTATTATTTTTTCCTCAAATCTTAATTGTGATCTAGGGCTATGCCCTTTAAAAGTGCAAACTTATCCTTAGTTCTTGGGAACAAAATCAAATGTGTATTTTGTTTTTCAGGATTCATATATTGTTTTAAACCACAAAAGGATGCTTTTACCGGGCACCGGCTCATGCCTGTAATCCTAGCTACCCAGGAGGCTGAGATATGAGAATCACGGTTCAAAGCCAGCCCGGGCAGGAAAGTCCATGAGACTCTTGTCTCTAATAAACCACTAGAAAACCGGAAGCGGTGCTGTGGCTCAAGCAGTAGAGCACTCGCCTTGTGCTGAAGAGTGCAGGGACAGCACCCAAGCCCAGAGTTCAAGCCCCACGATCGACCAAAAAAAGGAAGCTTTCACATAGGGCAGGTCACATTTGTACTGGGAGTCCCATGAGATTGCATAATTAAACACTATGATGTTTTTAGAAAAGGGTGACACATTTCTCATTAAGCGATATAAGATTGTACTTCCTAATTTTTTGAATAGCTTTACACTTATCAAAAAACTACATGTGATTAACTCATAAAACTTCATGAGTATGGACACAGATGCTATGGTATCATTACCACAGTCAAGGTAACAGACATGCCCACTGTCTCCTAACTGAGTGTGCTTGTGCATTAATTAACATGATCTACCTTCTTAATAAGCTTTTTTCCCCCTGGTCCTAGTCCTTGAACACTGGGCTTGGACACAGTCCCTAAGCCTCTGTGTCAAGGCTAGTGCTCTACCACTTGAGCCACAGCTTCCATTTTAGCTTTTTTTGGTGGTTAATTGGAGATACTAAGAGTCTCATGGACTTTCCTGCCTGGGCTGGCTTCAAACCTTGATCCTCATATCTCAGCCTCCTGAGTAGCTAGGATTATAGGCATGAGCCACCAGCACCCAAGATGAGTTTTAAGTGAATGATGCTGTTCTGATATATAGAGCTCATATGTTAAAGACAGAATGAAATCTCTAGTCCATTAGCATGTGATAAGAAATCAAGGAGCTGACAACTGTATTTCCATGTCAAAGTAGAAATGTCCTTCAGGGTTCTTTCCCTATTATCTCTAGGTCCTGTAGTGAGTAGCTAGATAAGAGCTGAAGAAAGAGTTGGAAAGACTTAGAGACCAGCTAGCCCAGCCTCAAGAACAGAAAGTCATGCCTTAAGAGCAGCTATGGAGCTAGAAATCATCTCCCAAGGACTCAGTCTCAACCAATATAATTCTCAGAACAATACCTATAATTGACCTTTGCTTAAAAGAGTTACTTTATTATTTATTAATTTTCTATCAGTCCTGGGGCTTGAACTCTGGGTCTGGGCGCTGTCCCTGAGCTTCTTTTTGCTCAGGTAACCACTCTACCACTTTGAGCCACAGTGCCACTTCCGGCTTTTTTGAGTAGTTTATTGGAGATAAAAGTCTCAGGGAATTTCCTGCTCTGGCTAGCTTTGAACTGCTGCGATTCTCAGATCTCAGCCTCCTGAGTAGTTAGCATCACCGGTGTGTGCCACTGGCACCCTGGCTATTTTTATTATTATTTTTCCTATCTTTTTTGTTAAATTTTAGAATTTTTTGTCATAAAGGTGATGGACAGAGGAGTTATAGTTACATAAGTCAGGTAAAGAGTGTATTTCTTTTTGCATTTTATGTATTTCTTCCCTTGGTCTTTCCCAGTTTTTCCTTTGTATCCCACCGGCAAGTTGTATAGTTCATTTTCAACAGAGTGTCTAGTGAGTAGCACTGCTGTATTTGTTCACTTTGTCCCTCCAGTTCCCTCCCAAAGACAGATAAATGAACAGGACAAAAGAAAAGAAAACAAAAACAGCAACAAAAAACCCTCATGTTTCCATTTTCTGGAGTTTATTTTGACAAATACTATTGTATATAATCATATGCACGTAGACATTGCACTTTTGTGTTCCTCTCCTAAGAGTATTCTCCTTTGGTCTGTAGAGTGTGTATGAATGCCTAGAGTCCTGTACAATTTATCATGTGAATTTTAGATCTAGCTTCTTCATATGAGAGAAAACATGTCAATTGTCTCTCTGAGCTTGGCTTATCTCACGTAACATGATTTGTTCTAGGTCCATCTAATTCCCTGTGAATGACACAATAGTCTTCCTTCTAATGGTTATGTAAACTTCCATTATATATAGATACCCATTTTTTGGATCCACTCATCTACAATAGGCCATTTGGGCTGTTTCCATAGGTTTGCTATTGTGAAGAGTATAGCAGTGAACACGGATGTACAAGTGTCTGCTGCATCCTGGCTTGTGATGTTCTGGGCAGATGCCCAGGAGTGGTATGGCTGGGTCGTAGAAAAGATCTATGTCTAGTCTTTTGAAGAACCTCCAGATTGTTGTCCAAAGAGGCTGTATGAGTTTACAATCCCGCCAACAGTGTAAGAGGGTTCCCCTTCCACCACATCCCCAACATTTGTTGTAAAAATTCACGATCCTGGTCAATCTGACTGGAGGGAGATGGAATCTCAGCGTTGGTTTGATTTTTATTTCCTTTATGGCCAGGGATGTTGAGCATTTCCTCATGTGTTTCTTTACCATTTTTTAAAAGAGTTACTTTCAATGATGACTTGAACTAAAAACCAAACTGATTTTGAATTTTCTAATTATTCTCAATGAGTCCTAAATTGTCCCCAATAATTCAAGACAAAGCATTAAGCAATTATATCTCTATCTTCTGAAGAAAGAATATCCTGGAGGTCTTCTAGGCCTCAGCATTTCAAAGATGGAACTAACGTTTTACTGAACCATGTCAGAAACACAGCCTAAGAGAATGACCCAGAATAAGGAAGAATGGAGGACAATAACTCTTTATGTTTAACAGGATGGAAGAGTTTTATGGCTCTGTAATTGATATAGACCTTCCATGCAGGGCATGTAGAGGAATGTTTGGAATTACACCAGTGGGATTACCAGGTCCCATCAGAATGTAAATCATTGAAAAGTGCACAAATGATCACACAGAAATGCAGTCCAGGGCTTCCACAATGGCTCATTTCTACTTAACAGGGTCCGTTTCCTTTCCCACTGTGCAGCTTCCTAATGAGCTCCCGGGTCTCCTTAGCAGACTTGGTGTGTGTGTGTGCTTTCCTGTCAAACATTTACACCTACCTTGCAGCTAATGGTCAGTGTAGGCTAATGGTTAACATGACTGGGAGGTTTACATCTGTGCTGCTCCAAACTTCCCATCAGAAAACAGCCCTTTTAAGTGTGAGCATAGAGTGTAGTTCATGATTTGAGGCATCTGCTAAAATGGAAAGATCTATACCTATGTGGGGAGGAATGGATGGATGGACGAAGAAGAGGAGGAAGCAGAGGAGGAGAGGAGGAGGAGGTGTGTGTGTATATGTGTTTATGCATGTGCGCACACCCTGGTACTGAGTCTTGAACTCAGGGCTTGTGCGCTGTCCCTGAGCTTTTGTGTTCAAGATTGGTGTCTCTACCACTTGGGCCACAGCTCCACTTCCAGCTTTTGCTGGTTAATTGCAGTAAGAGTATTTTAGCTTTGTCTACCCGAGCTGGCTTTGAACTACAATCCTCAGATCTCAGCCTCCCCAGTAGCTAGTTTTATAAGTATGAACCACCAGCCTCAGGCTCATCTTTTCTGAGCTGGAGCCTCTCATCCCATCTTCTGCCTGTGGGTTGAGCTTTACAAGGTTGCTCCTCTGGTTCCTAGGCCTCTGGGCATGGATCCCACAGCGTGGACTTCTACCACAAACAGCCCTGCATGAGAAATGCCTTCCTATGGATCTATACATATTTTTTTTATTGCTTCCGTTTCTCTTCAGAGGCCTGACTCAAGCGGTGCATACCATCACAGCGGGTCAGGCTGCACTTGCAATCTTTGTCTCACTGGACAGCACAGAATTCTACACGGAGATGCTTGGGGTAGGCAGGGCCCACAGGGCTGTGGCACAGGCCAGGACTGCTTCGAGCTTACACAATCTCCTTCCTCAGCCCTCTGCCAGGTTGGCAAGTCACTTCATGCGTGTCACATGATGCACATGAGTACATGCATACCATTCACACTGAGCCATGGCTGTGCCTGGCTGACACTGGGGCTTCTCCTGCAGGTTGTTGCACACAGCCCGATGACAGGGCCGTGTGAGCGAGTGCCTAGAAAGCTGGAAGGGTCCCTCCCTGTCCTTCCTTTTGTTTTTCCTGCTGTCTCCCCCACAACACATGCGGCGTCTACACAAATCAAAGAGATGAGAACGACCAGGCTTACATGTTGCTGTCCCTGTCGTGTGGGGATAGGATTCTGGGCTTTGTTTCTGCCACCTACAGATACAATGACATCATCTGTTCATTAGCAGAGCTCTTTGAAGATTTCCAATAAAGACCTTTTCTTTGAATGACAAGACTGATAGCGATTTATAGACCTCTCTGTCCACTGTGGCCCAGTATTGAGTCTAATTGCTTAGACTCAATAACTGCGAAGCTTCAGTCCAACGCAGATAGCTCAGCAAGGAATACAAAGTACAAGGATTTCTAAGCTTTTTCTTCCATCGTGATCTGCTCTTTACTGAATACATTTAGGCCCCCAACTTGGGGATGTGCAAAAACAAAACAAAAAACAACCCAGGCAAGTCCCTGGTACCTAGGCTTCTCAAACTGATCCGTTAAATCCACTGTTTGGATCCAGGCACCAGTAGCTCACACCTGTAATCTTAGCTACTCAGGTGGCTGAGACCTGGAGGATTGAGGCTCAAAGTCCACCTAGGCAGAAAAGTCTGGAGACTGCCAGGTGGCTCAATAATAGTGTGGCAGCTATTAGCAAGCAAGGCGAGTGAGAACATGAGGTTTGGTGTTCAAGCCTTGGTGACAGTTCCCAAAGAACCCCACAGAGCTAGAGTAGGATTGCCCAGCAAATACTCAGCATCACTAATCACCCCAAGGACTCTCCTGACATTTCAGATCAAGAGGAATCAAGAGGAGATCCTAACAGATCCCAGGGTTTGGAGTTCCAGGGTGGTAGACGTTTCCAGAACAACACTTGGTATTCTGAGAGAAATCTCCATTCTACATCTCTATGTCCTAACTATCCATCCAACATGAAGTCAGAAGGATAAAGACATTTTCAGATATGCAAAGGCCCCAGACATTCTGCTTTCCACATGTACATGATGGCCAGGGATTACTGGAGGACATTCTCCAGCGAGACAATGGTGTAAAACAAACAATAAGAAGCACAACAGCAGCAAAACAAGCAAACAAAAACAACACAGGAGACAGGGGACCCAACACAGCACAGAGAGACCCAGGTAAGGAAGGGGTCTCCCGCGTTAGAGCTGCAGAAGAAACCAAGTTCAGGCTAGATCAGAAAGTCGGAGAATGCTAAGAGGAAAATGAAACGCAGCAAAGCCCCAAAGAAAAGCCAGAGAGAGAACCAGGAATCATCTTTGCCTTAGGAAGAAACTTGAGAATCCATCTGCGAATCTGCAGGAGCTATGGGAGGAAGAAGGAAAAAAAAAAAAGCAAAAGCAAAGGATACATAGAAACGAAGCAATTAAAAGCAAAGCATTCATTCCCTTCAGGTCAAACAACTGGTTGTCTTAAGAAAGGAATCACAAGGGCAGAAACTACATGGATTAGTCATAATCATGTCATGCTGATGACTGTGGCTTTAAGCCAGTGCTGTTACCACCTACAGAGAAAATAAGGAAAAGGGAAAGTATGGGTGCTTGTATAAGACACCTTAATCCTCATCCATTAAAAAAAAAGTGGGATGTGGTTATGCATGCCTGTAATCACAGCACTTGGAACTCTTTTCAAGGAAAGCTTGGCCCTACAGTAAATGAATAAATGATTTCATTAAGTCTAAAATGGACAAATCTAGGAATAGCAGTGCTATTTATTTAGAAATGTAGAGACACATCCTGGAAAAGGCGGCTAAAAATGGTTGAAGAGGTAGACATATTTTTATAATCAGCCCTTTAGAACCATTTGACTTTCAAACTACATCACATAAATCTTTGGGAAACATAATACAAACAATTCTGGTGGTGTTGAAGACAGAGCCTGGCACATGCTAGATTCTGCACCTCAGCCCCTGACCAAATATAGATCTAATTCTTTAAAAATGTGAGTAAGAGCTGGGAATGTGGCTTAGTGGTAGAGTGCTTGCCTAGCATGCATGAAGCCCTGGGTGCCATTCCTCAGTACCACATAAAGCTGGAAGTGTCACTGGCTCAAGTGGTAGAGAGTACTAGCCTTGAGCAAAAGAAGCTCAAGGACAGTGCCCAGGCCCTGACTTCAAGCCCCAGGACTGGCAAAAATAAATAAAATATGAATGAAATTCATTCTTCACATTGACAGGGCTAAGCAGTTTGCCTTCCCTCAACAGCTTAGCTTCTGTAGGAATGTCCCCAGGAAACAAGGAGGTAGCTGGTGTCAAATTGCTGAGGAAACCAAAGCCCAGGTGAGCAGCACAGCAAGGTGATTAGGTTATCAGATGCCCTGCCTTCTGGGCTCTCCAGCACTTCTATAGTGCTAGGAGACCATGTGAGTGGCATGGGAAAAAAATCATAGCCAAGAGATGCAATGCAGGTCTGGATCCAAGTGGCTAACAGCGCCGGGTGTCCTATGTTGGTCTCTTGTCTTCCAGAGCACGTGGGAGTAGGTCTTGGAATGCTCTCACTTAGGCAGAGGATCAAGAGCTTAGAGATAGTGTGAAGGGGAAGGGGGTCCCATTTAGTCCATTCCCCAAGTGGCATTGCTGAGAGGGAAACCCAATCTGTCCCAGCAAAAGCCAACCAGTCAGCCAGCTCCATGGCCCTTATTATCTGTGTTTCTGACTGGAGCCAGGGTCCTGCCGGTTCAGATACATCTGTTCTTCTCAATACCAGCTCCTCCTGCAAAGTTCTTGTTAATTCCCACTCTACATCTCTCAGAAGACAGGAGGCTCAGGACAAGGAGTAGACACCCAAGGTTCTTTGTAAACTGTCAGTGTATTCAAACTAGGGACTACTGAGGGAGATGAGTGGTCTCTCATGTTCTTGTATCCTACCTACATTTCCAGGGAAGCCATCATTGGTCATCTGTGCTCACTTGCCTAATCAAGCTGAAGGAGAGACTTTGAGGAAGTAGAGAAGGTTCTAGAACGGTCCCCACTCCCTGATCACCAGGTGGGTTGAGGCTGTGGGCATTTGGGCTTTAAATGGGGCTGGCTCCAAAGGCATCCAACCAGATGACCTTCACTTGGGAAATCTGTAACATTCATTTCTGAGGATTTAGTCTCCTTTTCTGTTTTTTGAAAATTTCCATAAATTCCTGAGTCCTTGGCATTCATGATATTCAGCTCTAGCTTAGCTTTTGCAACTGGGAGTGGGGAGCGGGGGTGGGTGGAGAATGAACTACTTACTCCAAGGGAGAAACTGTTTCCTGTGCCTTTACCCAGGTGTTGTCAGACTGGAGAGTGATTGCATGCGTTTGGTGATTTTTACTTTAGCTCACGTCTGCCACCTAGTGGACACCTCACCTTTTATTGCTTCACTTTGAAAGTGAACATTCCTCTTCCTCCTCCTCTTCTTTCTTCTCCTCTTCCTCTTCCCACCAACTTCCTCCTCTACTTCCCACCATCCTCTTCCTCTTCTTCCCCCCACCCTTCTTCTCCTCTTCCTTCTTCCTCCTCTTCCGTCTCTCATGCTTTGTCTTTCTTTCTGGCACCTTGGTTTGAAATGAGGGCCTCATACTTGTTTCTCTTACTCAGTTGGCTGGTGCTCTACCACTTGCACCATGCCTCCATTCAGGCGTTTAGCTGTTTAACTGGACAAAGACTTCTCAATCCTCCTGCCTAGACTGGCTCTGTACCACAATCCTCCCTGCCTGGGCCTCCTGAGTAGTAGCTAAGACTACAGACATGAGCCATGGGTATCCAGCCTAGTTCCACTGTCTAATAAAGACAGTGGGGGATTAGGGAGAGAAAAGAGTTTCCAAGAACCCTGAACTACAGAGGGTGTCCTTTCCTCCATCTAACAGAAATCAAAACGAGTATGGTGTGATCTTAGCCCAGTCATTGCCACCATCAAGGTGCTTCTGGAGACTGAGCTTGATGTGGCAGGAGCCTTTGCTCTTGGTAGAATTATTCTGTGATATGTGTGTGTGCTGAAGTACTTCCCAAGGGGAAAGCGAGGGCATATCACTACTCTAACTCTGTGGATCAAGTTGGATGAGTCGTTGTAACCCTCAAGCCTGACTTTAATTAAATACAAAAGCAGTACAGGCCACAAGATCTCGGAATACATCCAGTGGTTCCCAGCCCACCCATGGGTTTCTTGGCTTTGAAGTTCCCAGGGCTGCACCCAAAAAGCAGGAAGTGGAGCTGTGGCTCATGTGCACACGGCAAATACACACACACACACACACACACACACATATATACACACACACACACAGTTCATTCATACTTTCAAAGTTCATTCATACCAGTCTAAGTTGATGAGTACTCTTATCATATTCATCCAGGTTCCCCACTGACTAGTGTATTTGTCATACCCATCCACATTCCCCACCGTCTCAGCTGACAGAAACCTCTAGCACTGGCATGCAGCTAAGAAACACCTCTCTACAAAGCTCTGACATTGTTTAGCTGATTCCCCCCCTCTCCCCCCCCCCCACTGCCCCGGCCCCGTGAAGTTCTTAAACCATGTTAATGGAAGCAACATGGCATCTCCAGCTTCCAGTGCCACTTCCAGGTTTTGATAGGAAAGTGTCCAGGAAGGGGGACGCTCGTACCTTATAGATGCAGGACTTGGCGTTCAGGAAGAACAGCTCGATGGTGGCATTGTCCTTCAGGTAGGAAATGCTTTCGATGTAGAACCTGCAAGAGGAAACACACACACGTACACATGAGCCACGAGGTGCAGCGGAGCAGAGGCCAAGGGTTCTCTCCAGCTGAGGCTTTGTGGTGGGAACTTGATCTCCCCGTGCTACATGAGTGAGAAAGACACCAGCCAGAAACTTGCCTCTGCTTCCTTTTAAGGAGGAAGTTTGTCTCATACGTTTCTATACAGCAGGGTAAGTTCACCATGTCTGAGGGATCCCTGATTGACAAGGACCGGGGCCTACTATCTACCTGGAGTACTAAGTCAACCTTTCTTTCTCCTCATCTGTTTCCTAATCTTTCACAATGCGTGGATTCATACATGACTTTTTCATCCTAAGCATTGTGTGTGTGTGTGTGTGTGTGTGTGTGTGTGTGTGTGTGTGTGTGTGTGTGTGTGTGTGTGTGTATGCACGCGCGTACTAGAGCTTGAACTCAGGGCCTCTCACTTTTTCTTTTTCTCAAGGCTGGTGCTCTGCCAGTTTCGCCACACATCCATTTCTACCTTGTTGCTGCTTAATTGGAAGAGTTTCTCAGATTTGTCTGCTTGGCTGGATTCCAACTGCAATCCTCAGATCTCAGCCTCCTGGCTAGGATTACAGGTGGGAGCCCTGGCTCTCTGGCAAGTTAGACTTATTTAAAAAATAAATAAAGATAATTTCTTCATGAACAGGAGGGATGGGAGGAGTGGCATTTCTCCTTGAGACACTTCCCATGGGCTTTCCTGAGGGTGGCGAACCGAGAGGAGATTTGAGATTTGAGCGCATCCCGAGAGCTGTGGCCAAGTGTTCTTAACATTGTAATCTTCACGCATTAGTTAAGCCAAATAAGATCTGAATTCCTATCCAGATGGAACATGTGAATTTTTTTTCAAGGAAACATGCTGACATTATTTAAGTGTACATTAAATGTGCCTTTCTGCACGGATGCCTTCAGAGTTGAAGAAAGCCTTTACTCAGACAATGTGCTTGTTCTGTGGACCAGTGACCCGAGGGAGGAAGCTGGATAGGATGTGTCTGAAATGTTATGGAGGGGGGGCACTGGTCATGGGAGATCTCATGCTGAAAGTAGATCAGACTAGCTACTTGGCTTTTGGAAGCTGGATAGACACGAGGGCAGGAGGAGAAGGTGAAGGAAGGAAGTCAAATGTTCCTTTTGCACAGTGTTCCTCAGGGAGGAAATCAGAGCCACGGATTGAGGGTTGGCTGACTGTGTCTCAGGATGACTCCTACAGTCTCCAACTATACCAGAAGGCACATCTCATCATATCAAATCGTATTTATCAAAATGAACTCCAGGAAATGGAAACGAGGATTTCCCCTTGTTTTCTTGTTGTCCTGTTTGTTCATTGATGTGTCTTTGGGAGGGTAAGGGGGAAGCACAGAAATGGAGGGACAAAGGGTGAACCAACGCAGCAGTGACACTCACTAGACGCTATGTTGAAAACGAACTTTACTTGTGGGTGGGGATGGGAGGGAGGAACTGTAAGACAGAGAGGGAAAGGGTAACACTGTTCCAAAAAGAAGTGTACTCCTTACTTGATCTATGTAATTGTAACCACTCGATATATCACCTTTATAACAACAATTTTTTTAAAAAAGGGAAGTGGACTCTCAATCAATGGCTCTCCATCTGTTTATTTTCTGTGGTGGTACTGGGGCTTGAACTCAAGACCTCAGATTCTCTCTTGACTTTTCCACTCAAGGCCATCACTCTACTACTTGAGCCATAGCTCTATTCTAGCTCTTCACTGATTAATAATGGAAGAGGCTCTCAGATATGGCTGCCCAGGGCTGGCTGGCTTTGAACCACAATCCTCAGACTTCAGCCTCCTGAATAGCTAGGATTACAGGTGTGAGTCACCAGCAAACACCTAATTTGTCTGCCATTCTTAATTACTACCAGGCTGCCTTCCTGTGAGTGACCAGCTCCTGGTAGGCCAGGAACAATTCACTCATTTTGGACCTCCCAGCCGAATTAAATGCTTGATACTTGTCAACTTTTCTCCATTCCTTCCTTTCAGATCAAGATAGTAAGGAGGGAGGAGGACAAATAAATGATTCATAAGATATCATAAGATTCTTGATATGCAGTCTGTAGCCAGCCAGCCATGAGCCACTGTTACTTTCTCTTTCCAGCAACACAGAAAATAGACAACTATTGGCAAGCCTATATGTATCCCAATACTAAAGTAAGAGCATGCCCTCAGAGGGACCCCTGATGGAAACCTTACTGTAATAATAAACTTGAGTCTAAATCTGTAGAGTCTGAAATAGTCTAATTATGAATATCTTTATCTCATTTGCTTATGTGTGTGTGTTTAGCCAGGCTTGAGGCTTGAAAGCTGGACCTGGGCTTCTTTTGCTCAAAGCTACTGCGCTCTACCACTTGATCCACAGCACTACTTCTGGCTTTTTCTGAGTAGTTTATTAGAGATAAGAGTCTCACAGACTTTCCTGCATAGGCTGGCTTCAAACCGTAATCCTCAGATCTCAGCTTCCTGAGTTGCTAGGATTACAGATGTGAGTCTTGGTGCCTGGCCTTTGAGTTTTTGAGAATTAGGGAATAAAGGCAATTTGTGTACCCTGCCCTCCCAATCCTCAACCCCAATCTTCTCTCAAATAGTATTTTAAGAAAATACAACCTTCCGCTTTTCCTTGCAATTCTCTAATAAAGGAAAATTCAAATGAGGTGGTAAAGTTGGCAGAAATACCATTTCTGTTGTCTGGCATGAGGGATAGGGAAGGTGGTAAAAATAACAAGCTTTTATTGGGACGAAAAAAATCCCCTGCTCGTGACAGAAACTGGAAAGAGGGTTTCCTGTTAGCCTTCGTCACCAAGACAACGGCCTGGAAAACCCCAGGTGCTCCGGGCCTGTCATATGTTTTGTTCATAACCTTGGACACTTAGCTTATTCTAAACTTTGCATCCATGCCAGGGAACTGCCAAGGTAAAAATGCCTGGAGAAAAACAGCCCGAAGACAACTCCATTCACATCCTGAGCCGGCATCAGGCTGAAGAGACTTATGGGGAGATGGCATGTGCTGATGACTTCCGTGCAAAGTGGAGACTGTCTTTATTTAAAAAAAAAAAAAAAAGAAAATTCGGCTTTCACAGGTGCCTCGTCCACCATCTCTTTGAGCAGTAGGTGGCGCTGTTGCATTTCCTTAACTGCCCATATCGGGAGGGGTGGGTTTCCCCAAATACCAGGCTCACAAAGAACATTCTGGGTCTCCTGGAAGACCCAGGGAAATGAAAGAAGGTCTTGCTGGCCCAGGAGGGGGCAATGCTCCCAGGTTGGCCAATTCCTAGAGGTAGCAAGCTCCTCATCATTAAACAGGATTCTCATAGGCAGGCAGCCAACCAATCCAGAGAGATGCCTCCAACCGGCAGGTTACAGGATACAGACCAGACCCAAGGGGCAGTCCTGCAGCCTTGAGCATGACAAAACCATCCATTCCTCCACCTGCATACCTGTCTCACTGGTCCTCCAAGCAGAGACCACAGACAAGACTTGGGCTCGCTTCTCTGGGTGCTTTACAGCAAGGCCCTGCCAACAGGGTATAGTAGTCATGGGCCCCCTCCTCTTGGTAATGGTGAATGAACTCTTCCCCACAGTGGACACCTCTTCATCTGCCCACCCCATGATACCTACACACTAAAGGAATCTTATACAATGCTGAGTTGAAGGCTTTTTGTGTGTGTGCTGGTCCTAGGGCTTGAACTTAGGGCCTAGGCAACTTTTTCACTCAAAGCTAGTATGCTACCACTTGAGCCACAGCTCCACTTGTGGCTTTTTGGTGGATAACTAGAGATAGGAGTCCCGTGGACTTTCCTGCCCAGGCTGGCATTGAAACACAATCCTCAGATCTCAGCCTCCCAAGTAGCTAGAATTACAGGCATGAGTGCGTCACCTGCACTTGGTTTGCAGTTGTCTTCCGGATTTGAAGGGAGCACCTTCTAGAACAAACTCCGCCGTGATGCTCCTTGAATCCCAGGAGCCATGTTACACCTGTGCTAGCCCTAGAAGAGCGCATGCTCCGTATTCACATGTTTGAGTGCATTAAACCACAGTGGGCAGTCTCAGCCCCTTCTTTAATTCAAGGAAGCTTCCAACTGCAACAGACTGAACTCCGTCCAGCCAAATGACATCAGCCAGGTCCCCTCCGGCCGGCTCCTGTGCCTCTCTCTGCAGCCACCCGCGGGCAGTTGAGACTCACTGTGTATTTACAGCAAGTGTTAATTACATGGGCCACTGACTTCATTTTGTGATGAACACAAATGTCACATTTGGAATGGCTGATTGTTGGTGGCCCAACAGAGCAGCAATAATGACAATGATAAGCTGTGACTTTCTGTGGCCACACATCTTGGATGCTTGGTGTCTTGGAGGCTCTGAAGTCTTCACTAAACTCTGATAAGTTTTGGTTAGCAGGCACTTCATTTCAGACCTATGCCGCCATTGTTCTTGGGAGAAAGCGGAAGTAGCATCTGTGTCTCTGTCAGCAGAGTCCACGGACTCAGATTTGCCTGGAGAATCTTCCTCCAGCGAAGAGCCTCCTGGCATCTCCATGCGGTCTCTTTCCTGTTGTTCACTCCCATTTGTTTATTTGTGAAACTCAACGTTTGAAGAGACAAAGCTAATCTGTTTATTTTCCTAAAAGCAGAGTAAGCTGCCAGGGTTAAAGGGATGCTGAAGAGTTCAACACAAAGAATAGTCTTGAGTATAAAGTCGTCCCCTCAAACACGTAATGTACTCACCTGGCACACTGGTTCATGCCTATAATCCCAACTATGTGGGAGGATCTGGAGGATCATGGTTCAGGGCCATCCTAGGCAAACAGTTCTCCAGGTCCTATCTCAAACCATAGCTGGGTATGGTGGCATGCCTGCCACCCCACCCAGCTACACAGAAAATGTAAATAGGAAGATTGTAGTCCAGGCTGGCCTAGGGAATAAATGAGATCTGAAAAGAAACTAAAGCAAAAAAAAGGCTGGAGGCATGATTCAAGTGGGAGAACACCTTCAGGTCAAATCCCAGTACTGCCAAAAAAGAAAAAAAAAGGTTTGCTTTGGTAACTAGCTCTATTTTCTCTCTCTATTTTTTCTTGCCCTATTTATTATTTTTGGGGGGAGGTAAACAATATGAGAGTCATTGTCCTCAAATTTCAAGCAGGGTAATAGCTTGAGGTAAAAAGCCTCTCAAGCACATACTGCTGGGTGTGAGGGCGTGGGGAGAGGCGAGAATGGCCCAGAAGGTAGAAATCAGGCATCAGAGGACAGGCTAAGGCTATATGAAGGAAAATGGGAAGCCAGAAAGAATCCTGATCCAGGATCGGATGAACTCTAGAAGGATGCTCAGGGGTCTCCTCCAGTAGAGACTGAAAGAGGTCAAAGCAAGGGGCTGAGACGACCAAGGAGATTTCAAGTCTGGGACAGGTTGAGGAAGGCCTGGATGAGGGCAGAGGGAGGTGCTCAGAGAGCTGGGGCTGGTAGAAGAGGTATGGCAGGGGAGAGGAGGAGAGGAGGGCCTGGGTGCGGCAGAGCAGAGGAAGCCCAGGTTGATGCCCACCTTCTGAGGGGTGTTGCGCAGTGGGGGAGGTATCTTAGAGACAGTGAGTTGCCATTGGAGGAGGAGTGTGATGTCAGGAGCCTGGTAGAACAGCAACGATGTCATTGGGTTCTACCTGCATTGTACACTCAGGCCTTAGCAGGGTCTATGGACTCCATACTTGAAATGAGAGGTTTTTCAACACTGACTGAGGTAACCAGGGCCAGAGGCATCGGAGTTCACGCGTGGGAAGGACAGGATGGCTCACTATGCTGCTAAGAGCTCAGTGTGCTTTGGTTCAGAAAGGTCACTGGAGGACCTGTAATCCAAGCATCCAGGATGCTGAGTGAAGATAATCATGATGAGTTCAAAGCTAGCCTGGGCTACCTAGTAAGACCCCCACTAACAGAGTGGGAAGGGATGAAACAGGTTTGGAGAAAATCCCACCTGATCCTACTTTTTTTTTCTTAAACTGTACTGGGAGGAGTTGAACTTTGATCTGCAGATCTCAGTCTCCTGAGTAGCTAGGATTAAAGGTGTATGAGCCACTAGTGAGCCTTGTTCATATTTTTGAGATGGGGTCTTGCTATCTTTGTCTCTTAGCCATAATCTTCCCACCACCAACACTCCAGTAGTCTGCCTGCACAGCCTCCTGTATGTTTTAAAGCTGCCTTTTTTTAAAAAGCTGTTTCTCAAAAAAAAAAAGTAATGGGATTTTGTAGGCAGTTGTGACTGTATTGGGGACTAGCCCTAGGCGGGAGGTTAGGTTTGAATCCCATAATACAAAGCATACCAGCAGGCAGCTTGGAGTTACACTTGTGTATTTAATCGGTCTTGAGCCATTTTTTTTTTTAAATTGTGTTCCTAGGTTGGTTTCCCGTAGAATTGTCTCCTAGAGAAAAGTGCTCATTGATCACTGCTGGGCTATGTTGACCCAGTGCCCTCTAAAAGAGCTTGTAGCCTGTGTTTTCCTAACAATTTCCTCTGCTGTGAAGGTTGGCAGATTGAACTTGTGGTGTATTTGGCTTTGTACAGGGAGAGAGGGTAGGACTTGGGGGTCAGCTTACCAGTATTGGAAGATACTGGTATTTGATCCTCTTGTAGGGAAACTTTGCCTATAGATTGGAAACTCAAAGCATCATTAGAATAACTATTAAACAAATAAAAACAACAGAAATCTGGGCGCCTGTGGCTCATGCCTGTAATCCTAGCTACTCAGGAGGCTGAGATCTGACGACTGAGGGTCAAAACCAGCCTGGGCAAGGAAAGTCTATGAGACTCTGATTTCCAATTAACCACAAAAAGCCAAAAGTGGAGCTGTGGCTTGAAGTGGTAGAGTGCTAGCCTTGAGTGAAAATGTTAAGGGACTATGTTAGGCCCTGACTTCAAGCCCTAGTACCAGCACAAACAAGAGAGAAAAAACAACAACAACAAAAACCCATAAGGCATGCAGAATGTCAGGAATTGTGTTAAGCCTTACTGATTCTCAGCACAACCAATCAGATCTCAGAGAAGGAGAACCAGCCCTTGGAAGAAGGGCGGGGTAGGTGGTGTCAATCCTTTACAGGGATTACAGGTAAATGAACTGCTTCCCTTCCACTCTGTTCTTGCCCATTCCTGCCTACTTCTCTTCTTGCAAACATTAATCTTTGCTTTCTCAGGTTTCTTTGCCCTTCATCTGAGAAACTGAGATGCCATTAAAGAGAACTTGCCATTGCAAGGTCCCTATCACCAATGAAAATGGCTGGGCCTAGCTCTGTTACCTTCCAAGCTGCTAAGCAAATCAAGATGGCATTCAGCACGAAGCTTACACTTTATCCCTCAGCAGAGGGAGAGAGAGACACTCCAGCCTGTTCAATGGACCCTTGAGGTCAGACTTTACAGACTGTCTTGTGGACTCAGGCAGGCTGTGCCTGGATTGCAGTCTTCACTCTGCTCTTCAGGGAGAATGAGTTGTACATGGCATGTGTGTCTGCTCGGGAACTTAAAAGATTCTAACATTTTTGAGGAGCGGAGTCTATGTGTCGGGTGCGAGTGGAAATGTCCCCTTGTGGCTGTGATCAGTGGTGGCATGCTCAAGGCTCTGGGTTCGATCCCCAGCACCATCATCAAAGGGAGATGATGATGACAACCGTAGAATGCTTCTGCAGGAGTTAGAGCCAAAGTTCTAGGAAGAGCAAGCAAGCGGGGTGGCTTCACAGACAGGGCGCTCAGAGATCCTGACCTGGGGACTCTGATTCTGCCATGAGTTGGACTTTGGCAGTGGGTAAGTCCTGGGGTCGGCTTCAGGAGACTGTCTGGAAATGATGTGACACATAATGGCTCCCTGGCAAACACTGATGAACTGAAGCTGTCGGAATGGATGAGCGGACAAGAACTGCCCTGGTCTCTATTACACAAGGCTGGATCAACCTGGGATCTGCGGTCACACCATCCTGTCTGGAATCAAACTCCTACATTCCAACATACTCGAGTGGCATTTATGATGGAAATCCAGACTTCCGCTACAGCACTTCACATGACACCAAGAAAAGCATCCCAGAATTTCCCGGGATGTGTGCTATGGTGGGAAACTCAGTTTAGTTTGAGCTGTATGGTCCTTTCCCACCATTCCCTCAGCCTCCCCCAGAGTAACCCCAAAACACGTGTGAAGTTTTTAATCTTCATGTCACACATGGACCCTAGTGGGAGCATGCAAACAAGGGCTGGGTCATGGTTGATGTGGTCGAGGACCCTCAGGGCAAGTGCAAGGACTTGAGTTCAAATCCTCGTGCTGCCACACACACAAAAACAGTACAAAGATATGTGTCAGAGCATACATCCCGACATGTTCCCTACACAGACATCTCACACACACCTTGCACACTCATCCCTGCACACATGACATACTCCTGCCTCTTGTGTTCACAGCTCCCACAGGGACAAGTATGGTGAGCTCACATCTCTCTCTCTCTGCCATGTCTTGCACACACTCTCCTTTAGCAGAAACCAAGATACACTTGTTCTCCCCAGCCTTTGGCTCATTCATAGCCGAGAGAGAGCGAGAGACAGACAGAGAAAGCGAGACAGAGAGAGAGAGAGAGAGAGAGAGAGAGAGAGAGAGAGAGAGAGAGAGAGAGAGAGAGAGAGAGCGGTTAAGTGTGAGCCCACATGCACATACCTGACACAAAAGTACAACACCACGGGTCCCGACTTCTTGGGGAAATCATGTTCCAGCACCCTCCGGTCTAGCTGAAGCCAGTTGAAGTGTCCCCTGAGGAGAAGAGTGACAAGTGGGTCAAGGTGGTGGGTTTGCTGCACTGTTTTGGGACAGGGGTGCATGTGGACAGAACATGCTAGATGGCAGCTACCTGGGCACCTTTGCCTGGCTGCTGTCTGTTTAGAGAGGTACAAGAGAACTACCCAGGGACAGCGTGGGCAGGAGAGGCACCACCTGGTGTGTGGGCGGGAGCTCCGCCCACTGCCTGTTTGCTAGATTCCTGATTCCATGAACCCCCTTCCCACCACTCGAGGCTGGCTGGCCGCTGCTTCTCCCAGAGGCCTCAATGCAAATTAAGGACACATTCACACTCTTCAAAAACCCCTACCGGAAGTACCTGGGTTAAGTCTTGAATCCCAGTTCCTTCGAACATGAAGTTGACACTTGCATATGGCTGAGCCATTCTACTCTCCCATGTTCCCCTCCTCCCCTGGAAAGGATTTATTCCACAATGCTGTAATGACCATGTTCCTAGACTCTTGGCAGTCACTTCCCAGACATTTCTTAGACACTGGAATAGCCCACATTCAGAACCATCCCAACATTGACCAGTAGACAACTAGATAGACAAATCATGATAGAGTCACCCAGTAGAATACTATGCAGTACTAAAGAAAATGTGCTGCCGGCTCGGGTGAATTGAAAAATATGCTGAGAGAAAGAAGTCGACAAAAAGAGGAAGTGGAAATGAGGTTTTTATTCTTTTTATTTTTGTCTTGTCTTGTTCATTTATTTGTCTTTAGGAGGGTAAGGGTCACAGAAATGGAGGGACAAAGTGAACAAATGCAGCTCACTAGATACTATGCTGAAAATGAACTATACAACTTGTAGGTGGGGACAAAGGGGAAAACTGGGAGAGAGCAAGGGAAGGGGCGACATTGTCCCAAAACAAATGTACATATGACCTGACATGTAACTGTAACCCCTCTGTACCTCACCTTTATAATAATTTTCATATATATATATATATATATATATATATATATATAAATACTACACAACTTCAAGTATGTAAAGCTCTAGAAAATACAAACTGATCTATAGTGACAAATCATATTGGGGGTGTCAGGGAGGGGCCGTGGGGAGACACTTCAGGAGTGATGGTTGTTGATTACCTTCATTGTGATGACAGCTTTCATGGTTGCAGACATCTTGGTAAACCAACCAAATCGTACACTTTAATACATACAGTTTATTCTATGTCCATTATAATTCATTAAAAATCAGCCAGAGAAGGCCAGGAACGGTGGCTCAGGTCTATAATCCCAGATACTTGGAAGGTGGAGGTAGGGGAATCATGGTCATAATCTAGCCTCTGGCCAAACATGCCATCTGGAAAATAGGACCATATATGGATGGAGGGTGTGGCTTACGTGGTAGAGCCTCTGTTTAGCAAGCATGAGACTCCAAGTTCAAATCTCAGTTGTGGAGAAGGAGCCTAACAGGGAGAGAGTTCAGCGGGGAATAGAGGTTTACTTCCATAAAATGATGGTGATCACACCCCTGTGTTCATGGTTTCCTCCCCATCTTTCTTTCTTTCCCATAAACACTCTGACCACGTCCTCTGGAAGAGCAGCAGCAGTGAGGGCAACAGACCCGGTCCCTTCTCCCCAGGCTTGTGTCCTTCTAAGGAGGCAATCGTCCACCACCATCTCCATACTTAATTACAAAGATCAGAATGTTTCACACACACAGCCTCAAGATCAGAAGATGATCCAGGCTTGAGAAATCCTCACCACACCCAGTGGTTTGCCAGCTGCTGAGATGGAACCCAGGCGCCCCGTTGGGTTTGCCTTCTTCCATTCTCCTCCAACCACATTGGTAAAGGACAGATCTGTAGGTTGATTCCTTCACTGTACTCCCATAACAAACCTCCTTAAAGAATAACATTTTTAGTTGGGTGCTAGTGGCTCACACCTGTAATCCTAGCTACTCAGGAGGCTGAGATCTGAGGACTGTGGTTCAAAGCCAGCCTGGGCAGGAAAGTCTGCGAGTCTCATCTCCAATTAACTATCAGAAAACCAGAAGTGGCACTGTGGCTCTAATGGTAGAGTGCTAGCCTTGAGCTGAAGAGCTGAAGGATAGCGCCCAGGCCCAGAGTTCAAGCCCCATGACTGACAAAAAAAAAATTAAAAATTAAAAAAAAATTCAGCAAATAAATTGAGACAGGGTCTCATGCTCTTGCCAAGGCTGGCCTGGAGTCTCAAACCTCCAGCCTAAGCTTCATGGGTGCTGGGTATAAGGGTGTGTGCTACCAAAGTTGGCTGCAAATGAACTCATTTAACTGGAAATTCCTTTGTTCCTGGATGTGTGTTGGTTTAATCTTTGTTAGGCAATTGAATGGCTAAAAATAAATATACAAAAATGACCAGAAATCAGATCAAGGAGGCAAGAACAGCTCTAAGCTCGAATAGCTAGCTTCTGAGGAGAAATGGCCTTCCTTACTTCCCATTTCTTCCTTCCACTTCAGTCCTGGGACGATTGGTGTGACACATACACTTGTGTGGCTCTGATGGAGAGGCAAGGCCCACGCCCAGAGTACTCGGATGCTCAGGAGGAAGGAAGTGACTCCTCCATTTATGAGCTGTGACAGTCTCAAGGGCAGAGACAAAAGGGACAAGTAACTGACTCTCAAGTCCCTTGGGGTAACTGCTAGTATCTGGGCAAAAGCCAAAAGTAAAACAGAAACCAGAATTCTGAAGCCACTGGTTCTGCTTGTAGTAAGACGTAATAAAATTCATTTATTTTTTGCTCATTTTATTAGGTAGGAAGCCACAATTCTTAACGCTGGAACCAAAGCTTCCCCCACATCCTACGTAACACTTTTCAATCCTGACATCAAGTGCCTCCCTCAAATCCCAGATGAGGAACAAAGGTCAAAGAAGCATTTCCTGTGTGTAGCGGAAATAAGAGAACCTGGTGCCTTCCTTCGTTTCATGGCTGCCATTGATGGTTTTCATTTGACCATGCACATTAGTGTCTCTGCCAATCACCAAGCCAAAAGAACAAAAGGCCTCTAGCCCACAGACACTCAAAAGCATTTTCATTAGTGCTCACTGATAACCATCTTTAAAGCTGGGCAAGTGGCGGCCTCCTTGGTTTACTGAGGCAGGAGGTCAGACTATTGGGTCTGTAATAAATGTGCAATTGCTTTGGGGCAACAGAAATTGAATGCATTTATTTAACAGATTGCTTTGGGTTCGGACACATACTACAAATGGATTTTTTATGTTTTGCTTTGTTTTTTGGTTCAAGTGTTGGTTCCTTCGATAGACAGCCTCAGGGAGAGCTTTGTGGAGGGTTAGTGGAGGGTGCAGGTGGGATGCATCTGTCTGAACCAATCTCTTCTCAGGACTCAAGGAGAGGGGACTGCATGTTGGGCCTCTAGGAGGATTTTCTTGTAGCCAGGCTATTTTGGGGAAAGCCAAATAAGGCTGTGAAATTCTTACAGGTTATCATCGGATGTTAGATGTTTAACTGTTTAGTGTCCTTCATTCCACATGATGCCCAGGCTCATCAACAATGGCTCAGGGGTCCCGATTTAGCCTCAAATCCCAGAGAATGGCTAAGGCAGGGTATGTAGCTGGGAGATACTATTTCTAAATCATAGGCTCTGCAGACCAACTGAGATTCCTGGCTTTAAGTTTTTCATTCTGGAGGCATTGTTTGTTCTACTGTGTTATCTTCAGTTCAGGCCATGTTTTTATTATAACCCCTCCTACACTATGTTTTATTAATTATTTCCTAAACTATAAACATAGACTCAACAAGGAGGGGGGTGGTGGGGCAAAGGTCAGTTATTTCTGATCTCCAGTGGTTAGCAGTGAATCTGAAGTGAATTCCATATTTACTCAGAATAAATTCCCTTACATTGTGCCCCATAGATTCATATTCTTGTAGGTTCAGGAGCTGACACCAAGTGTAAACATTGTTTCTGTCTGAAACAAAGGATCCTAGCTGGGCGCCGATAATCCTAGCTACTCAGGAGGCAGAGATCGGAGGATTGCAGTTCAAAGCCAGCCAGGCAGGAAAGTCCATGAGACTCTAATATCTAATAAACTACTAAAAAATGCTGGAAGTGGAGCTGTGGTTTAGGTGGTAGAGCACTAGCCTCGAGCAAAAGAAGCTTAGGGAGACAACACCTAGGCCCTAAGTAAGCCCCACAATTGCCACCAAAAAAAAAAAATCCGACGTGAAGAGTTCACTCTGCTCATCTATGGAGGACTCAAGCTCCCTCAATAGTGTGGCATTGGGACAGAAAGATGGAAGAGGAATCCAAGATCATCCCCATTCATCGTTGGTTGGTGCCATTGGCCTTGATTCATCTTCACTACACACAGGAAGAGATATGTCCAGATCTCCTTGGATTACTAAATACAAGGTGCTGATGCTGTTCGCAGTGATGTCTAATGGTGCAGCACTCTTTCCTGAGGTGCAGGGAGGGGACATGGGGTCAGCCATGCATCAAGCTCACCTGCTGGGCTGACCGAGGCAGAAGTTGGGACCATTCATGTTCTCCTGTCCCACCAGCCAAGTGTTAATGACTAGAAACGCTAAGCCCATTTCTAAATAAACTCTATTCCCACGATTGCTGCTGCTGGGTCTTCCTACCACAATTAGAACATGGCCTTTGTACTTTAAATGGTAGCTAAGCCTGCGGCTGGCAATGCTCATCAAATAGAGCCTTTGTGGGGGGCCTCAGCTGATGACCCCCAAGTTCTAGTCCCTCAGGGACACAAAGACATACTCCCAGGAGCCAGCCTTCCTGGTGGGAGTGTATAGATCAGCTTCCAACAAGCCTGGCCATTTTGAGTTTCACTGATTTCTATCAATTCAGCCCACAAAGAATACCAACCAAGGGATTTAATTAATGAAGACACAGGATGCTAAAAAAAATCCTTACCTGGTTAGTTTCAGGGCACTCAGACGATGACCCTGGTGTTTGGGTCTCTGTGACCTTTCTACAACTTTGAGCAAAAGCCTTGTACATAAACTTTAGTGGAAGAGAAGGAGTATAAGCTCTTAACAAATTTCAAAGGGGTCTGGGATGAAATAATATGATAAGAACTACTCATCTTCCTAACTGGGACCTAAAAATGTGTTCCAACTGCACTTGATTTTTAAAATATGTAATAATGGCCAAGTTTTTTGATACATCTTAAAGTTCCCTCATCTTTATAATTTAATGAGCAATGCATAAAATACCTGACAGGGGATTAAGATTAAAATTTAAGTGAAGTACAGCAATCACTATTCCAGTTTGAGCTATGTTGTGTTTACTGACAAGTCTAAAATTCTAATTATGGCTTTTGCAAGTGGGCTCCTCTGACCTCATCCAGCCAAGAATTTAAAGAAACAATTAAACTCTGGAATCAAGACAGCAATGGGAAGACTTCAAAAATAAAATGTAGGTCAGGCACAGTGGTTCATGCCTGTAATCCCAGCATTCGTTTTAATCTAGTTTGGGCTACGCAGTGAGACCTTGTTTCAGAAAAAATAGATAAACAATAAAAGAAAAATATAAAAATGACTTTTTCTAACTGCTGAGATATGGAAACCTTGGCTATGCTAGTTGTATGCATGGGTTCACAAAGCCTGGTATACTTTTTTTTTTTTTGGTCAGTTGTGGGGCTTGAACTCTGGGACTAGGCACTGTCCCTCAGCTCTTCAGCTCAAGGCGAGTGCTCTACCGCTTGAGCTACAGCACCACTTCCACAAAGCCTGAACTTTAGAGTTGTGTACAATCTTGCAGGTCCTAAAACACTGATATCACTGACCCCTCCCTCTAAGTTTCCCCTTCTCCCCTTCCAATGCAAGGTTATAGTGGAGTCAAGTTCTCTCCTTAGATCTGGAGGAATGGAGCAAAAGAAACTTACACTTTTTTTCTCTCTGGAACAAAGTTTGTAAATTTGGCTACATTGGAACTACCTGAGGTAGCTTTGAAAACTCCCAACTCTTAGGCCACATCTGGGGCAATTTAATCAGAACTTCTAGGAGGAAGTCCCAGGCATTGGCTTTTTGTTTGTTTTTCTCCCCTGACTGGGTTTTGAACTCAAGGCCTCAGGCTCACTAATTTTCTTGCTGAATTAGCACTCTACCACTTAAGCTAACCCTTCAGCCTGGCTTTTTTGCTGGTTATTTTGGAGATGGAGTCTCATGGACTTTTCTTGCTGGGCTGACTTCAAACTGTGATCTGAGTCTCAGCCAACTTAATGGCTAGGGTTATAGACATGAGCCAGTGGCACCCAGGGGACAATAACTTTTCATATGGTATTCTAGGTGCTCCAATGTGAAGTCAGGGTTGAGAACCATGACTCTAACTGCGTAAATCAGTATCTTAAGATGGGATTTACAGAAGGCTCTTACTTGGCTCAAAACATTGTATGTTCTTACTTAACTTTGAAACACTGAATGTTTTAAAGGTGGCCCAGATGTCCTTGATTGAACCTTGATCACATGACTGAGTTATTGCTAGATAATAGGCCACCTGTATCTCCTTTTATTTGGACAGAATTAGTTAAAAAATAATAAAAAAAGGAGGCGGAATGCAATGGAATCCTGGAACAGAAAAAAAGGCATTCATAGGAAACTGTTCAAGTCTGTGTTTTAATTAGTTTACCACCCACGTGAATATCTTCGTTTTGATAAATGTGACATGGTGCGTCAGATGCTGGCATTTGGGGAAGCTGGTAAAACCACTATCTTTGCAAGTCAATTTCAAAATTAAAAGTTACTACATTAAATAAAGCCAGATGAGGGGTGGCTCACACCTATAATCCTAGCTACTGAAGAGGCTCAGATGAGGAGGATTATGGCTAGAGGTCAGCTATGTGAGAACCCCTTCTCCACTAATAGCTGAGTGTCATGGAGCATTCCTGTCATCTGCACTACAGCTTTGGGGGCGGGGGGAGGGAGGAGGGGAAGGGAGGGGAGGGGGAGTGATGAAAGAGGCTGTGAGTTCTCTGGACTGTGACAGGAGAGTTTTGTTCCTCTGCCAACCTCGTGCAAGCCTGACCTGCATGCATGCATGGACATGCACCCATCTCCCTTGGGAGAAGACTGGCTCTCCGACTTGCCACTGATTACTTCTGGCCAACAGTCGGGAGGAGTCTGAAATCAGAGCACGCAGGATTTCCTCTTTGGCCCAAGGTAACATGTTACCTTTGAATCTTGTTGATTCAAAAGGGAAGTCAAACTGGGCCTCATGTAGAATTCATGGACTCCTTGGGTTGAGTAACTCTGCTTGGGAAATGGGAACAATGGGGACATGATTCATTGAAACTTACGGTTTCCTTCCAATCATGAAGAACAGCACAGAGAGCAATTAAGGGCATTACTGTGGGGCTCAAGAGAAAGGGTAGAAAACATTGGCGTTTGAGAAAGTAATTGTTCTAGATGCGAAGTTGTTTAAGGGCAGTTTTTCTTTATTTCCTGCTGGGTGCCTTTATTACTACCCGCTTGCTCTTCTTACAGCTGTGCTGACCCAGCTCTACCTCCAGGGGGTGCTCTAGACACCTGAAGAGCATCTTCCTGTGCGCCCTTATCTAAGGCTTGGTGGAGGGGAGAGGCCTTAGGGGTGTCAGCTCAGGGGGCTGGCCTTGGACATATGACTTTGCTCCTTTCACCCACTTCTGAACCCACCACTGCCCCCAAAAGGTCACTTGTCCATAGGGTGACAATATATTCCAAGTTATCTAGTATAGCTTCAACTTACATTCCCTTTTATTCCATGATTCTCTCTGCATAATAAATCACCTGACCACTTTGTCCATTTGCAGTGTCCCCAAGACTAAGAGTCACAGACGGGCATTCTCTTGCTGATCAGCAAGGATTCAGAGTTGGTCCTACCTCGGTGGTCCTACTTGGTTTGGGGGAGGGGGTGGCCTAAGCCCCCCTTTTCCCATTGCTGTGCCCCTCCACTACCGTCATTCCAAACTATGAGCATTTTAGGAAGCTATTTTCACAGCTCTAAGAATTTGGAAAGGCATGTGTGCATGTAAGCACACTGAGGAAAAAGAATTACAAAGGATTTACTATTTACAAAAGATTTTCTATTTCTAGTGCTGGGGATTGAACCCTGGGCCGCACACATGCTGGTGTGGACTCTCCCCTGATCTCCTGCCCAGACGCTACCTTATCCTTATCTAAGAGTTTTGGCAGACAGTCATGGTCCTCTTTGATTAGAAAAATTAAAAGCCAGAAATTGAATGAAGATATTCCTTGTATTGGGAAATAACACTTTGTTGAGCCAGAATGAGAGACTGTTGAAAGCAAATACGTGTGTGTGTGTGTGTGTGTGTGTGTGTGTGCGTGTGTGTGTGTGTGTGTGTGTGTGTGCGTGTGTGTGCGTGTGCGCGCTTTAACTCATGGCCTCATACTCTCCCTTAGCTTTTTCACTCATGGCTGACATTCTACCACTTGAGCAACACCTCCGCTTTTGGAGAGAAGAGTCTCTCGGATTTGTCTGCCTGGGATGGCTTCTAACCTCCATCCTTAGATCTCAGCCTCCTGAGTAGCTAGGATTACAGGCATGAGGCACCAATGCCCAGCACAAACATATTTTTAATCAGATGAGTGATGGCAATTTTTGACTTATATTCTATTCCAGCTCAAACAGAGACTGGCCCAGTTAGGTTTCATTTTGAACTTATCATCAACTTTACTTCCTGTTATTCCAATACTGGAGAGAAATGTTTAATTTCCAGAAGTTTTTCATTTAACTTTAATGAAAACCAAACCTTGGCAGATCCACTTAAAAAAAACAAAACAACAACCACCCTCCCCCCCCAAAAAAACCAGCCTTTTTTATCTCAACATGAGCCTATTTGATTATGAGTTTACCTACAAATATTACCTCCTAATATTAGCACCACCCTAATTATATCCTTTGTCTGCTCCAGCCACGGTCACAAGACTTTGGAAACTCTGATGATGAACTTGGACTGACCCCACACCATGGGACCCAAGTGGCCTGCAGCTGACTTCACTTCTCACGGTGGACACAGCTCAGTGTGAGGCTTGGCTCTGTCCTATTCGGGGTCTGCGGGCTTTGGGCAGCACTTACGTCTCATCTGTGAATGCAATTCCAAAGTATTCCTTCTCCTTCAGGTTGAAATGAGAAGCCACGAGGTCCAGAAGCTCCTTGGCCAAAAGCTTGGGCTAGGGAAAGAACACAAGAGGGAAAGGGTTAAGTGAGGAGAGGTTACTTCTCCCCCTAAAGAGGCAAGCACAAATTTCCATCACTGGTCAATGGAATGTCTCCAAGTACAAGCCCTGTACATCAATGCAAATGAGTTCTAGAAGCCAAAAAAGAATAAGCTACCAGGGAACAAGGATAGGATATCAGGGAGCCAGCAGCTGAGTGAAGGGTTAGAGTCTGCTGATAGAGACTCTGTCTCATTTCCTAGCAATTTTGTTAAATCAACAAATAGTACTTGCTCTTTGGCAGAGATGTCAAACCCAGTAACTTCCTTTCTCCACAATTTAGGTTGCATTGATAAGAAGATGCCTTACTTAACAAAATATATTTAACAAACACAGACAGATGCTCCATATTTATGCTATGGTTTCCTTCCAATAAACCAACCAAAGTTAAAAATGGTGTTATGTAAAAAAATAAATTATGCCAGGTCCCAGTGGCTCATGCTTGTAATCCTAGTACTCAAAGCGCTGAGATACTAAGGATTGTGATTAAAATGTAGCCTAGACAGAAAAGTCTTTGAGACTCTGTCTCTAAAATAACCAGCAAAAAGTCAGACTGGAGGCATGGCTCAGAGGGGTAGAGTGCCTCAGGGCATGAGGTCCTGAGTTTAATCCTCAGTGCCACCCAAAACCAGCCAAACAAAAAAAAAGTAAATAAATCCATCCACTTTATCTACCAAACATCAGAATTAGCAACACCATCAACTATAGAGTGTCAGCTATTTTCTGGTCTCCTTGTGATTGACTAGGAACTTCTGTTACCACGTAGCATCCTTGAGAGAGGACCTTTATTACTAGCTCAGGGAAAAGATCCAACTTGAAATTCAGAGTTCAGTTTCTACTGGATGCATATTGATTTTGCACCCTTGTGAAGAGATAAAATCCTAAGTCAAACCATAGCAAGCCTGGTCTATTTTCTCCAGGCACTGTTTTAAGCATTTTTCCATCAGTATCTTTTTTTTTTTTTTTTTTTTTTTGGGTCCGGTCGTGGGGCCTGAACTCTGGGCCTGGGTGCTGTCCCTCAGCTCTTCAGCTCAAGGCTAGCACTCTACCACTTGAGCCACAGCACCACTTCTGGCTTTTTTCTTTTTTCTTATGTGGTGCTGAGGAATCGAACCCAAGGCCTCAGGCATGCAAGGCAAGCGCTCTACCACTGAGCCACCTTCCTAGCCCCAGTATCTTTTTTCTTAGATTGCCTTGTTATATAGCCCAGGTTAGCCTTGAAGCTATGGTCTTCCTGCCTCAGTGCCACCCCCACCCCTCCAGCAATGGTAGGATTACATGTATGTGCCACCACACTTGGCTAACATCAGTATTTTCCATCCTGAGCTGAGCCAATGAGATTGCCCATCACATAGGGAGGGAACAGTTGAACAGTTCTAGGGAGTGTGCAAGATTTAGCAGCTGTTTCCCTTTTGCTGTCTTCATTCTCTCTCCCTCAATGACCACAATTCACTAGGAGAATTGAGCCTTGGCTTTGAAGCTATGGCGGCACTTCTTCTTGGAAGGTGGAAGTACATGGCAGAACCCATCTTGATAAACCAGCGCCTTCTATACATCCATTCCCACTACATTTTGAAAAAGTAAAATAAAACCAACCAACCAAACAACCCCGCCCCCCCAACCAAATCTCTGAACCAACAGGGAATTCAAGATTTTATATCACAGCCTCCTTCATTTAGAGAAGAAATTCTACCCTAGAGAACAAGGTGAGGAATACAAACTTCATTGCAAAATATCACTGATGAATTAAGAAGATGAAAAAATGAAAGGGACTCTTGAAACTCTGAGCAACTGCTGATTCTTGTGGGCTCTTGCAGCCGGCTGTCAATGTGACTTCCTCCCAGGCCCGGTGTTGGGCTGCCCAGTTTCAAAGCATGGAGTATATCAGTACTGTCAGGCAGGTTGGCTGTTTGTAAAATGCACTGCAACTTATTTGTCCAAATGATTTCCATCTCTTTCAAGGTGATCCTATTTCTATGATGCTTACAAGTGCTTTAAACATTGAGAGCCAGATGTGGTAGTGCATGTTTGTAATCCCAGCACACAGAGGGCTGAGGCAAGAGGATCGAGAGTTCGAGGCCAGCCTAGGCTACACAAATGAGACATTGTCTTAAAAGATGTTTTCTTGGATAACCTTTTGGATTAGCTCTTGAAGCTTGTGTCAGACTCAGCATCCTTGGTGGTAAATGTTCTTACACTCACAACCGTCCTGACGTTTTACAAATGTCAAAAGTTACCTGAAGTCATGTCTAGCGAGGCCAGAGAGTGAGTGACTGAGATGGGTATCATAAAGTGAGGTGAAACTGTAAGGTGAATACTAGGGTTCATGGGAATGATGGTGAGGGACTAATCCCAAAGTTGGGAATGACAGATATAAGATTTCTTTCTCTTTGGGAGTTCAACTTTTAAGCTCACATCTCAAGATACCAACCCAAGAGGAAAAGGAATATTCCTAGGGTACAATTTATCTCTATATGATTTAGTGGAGGACGGAGAGGGGGTGAATGGAAGGTACTGGGTTAGAAATGGTAAGGTTAGGGGTCAGGAAACAGAACCTTGGCTAATAGGCATTGAGAACTTAGCGAGATAAGGTGTTTTTAAAGAGCAGAAAGGGAGGCTGATCATACTACTTTCAACCCTCCTCTTCCTCTTTCCAAGCCTTCCAGGAGCTCACCGATGCATTACTACATTCAAATTTATGGTGCTGAGAAAGATCAACAGATCATCTCATTATCACTTAAGATACAGATGGTCGTCCTCTGCCAATGGAGATTCTCAGAGATGCCGGTGGGCTGTCCCCAGACTCAGCACAGCAGAATTTAGGACAAGATCTGGACACACAAAGGAATACTACCTCAGCTTCAATAAGGAATAACATTCTGACACATGCTACAACGCTGGTGAACTTGAAGATATTGTAGTAATGGAAGATACATACTACATCATCCCACTACAAACAATTTCATAGAGCCAAGAGAATGGGTGTTACCTAATGGTTATAGAATTTCTGTTTGTGATGCTGACAGTTTTGGAAAGAGTGTTAACTTTATATTAGGAATATTTTATCCTAATTTTTAAAAAAGAAAAAAGGAAAACACACAAAGAGCTAACTCTGACTGGTTTTCTCAAAGCCCATGTGGATAACATCCCTCTGGCATTCTGCTTCCTGGGTGAAAGGTGAAGGGTCATGTCTTGTGGGGACTCTGACTGAGAGGAGGGTTATACTGCTCAACCTAAACTAATACACTGACCTTCTGGATTTATACATCAGTATTTTGAACTGGGTTAGTGTGCATGTTCACATGAGGGTATAAAATAAGGTCTTTGTGATTACATGGCAGTAGAAATGACACAATAAGCCAAGATTCACCAGTTATGGGTACCAGTTATGACTTTTGACTGGTTTGTTCATGGAGTTGTGTCTCTCGGATTGTGCCTGCCACCATCACATTGGAACTCTGACAGTAAGAAAGCAAGTTTTGAGCTGACAGTTCTCTGGGCAATAGTAACACCACTGGAGAAAACTTGGTTCTCCAGCATGAACTGTTTTTCAAGAACAGTAGCTATATGGAAGATCCTTTGTTAATCATCTTGAAAAAAGTGCTCTCTGTACTATGTACAACATGTTATTATAGATTGCAGACACCACCTCGACCAGCCAGGACGTACATATAAAGAGATCAAAGCAGTGTTGAGGAGATGTGAAGGTTACAGCTCCCAGATCTCCTAGAAAAGTCACATGAGGCATTCCATTGTCAAGGTGACAGGCTGGATAGTGGCTGTTTCCATAATCAAGATGGAAGCCAGTGTGGGAAACAAACAGCTTGATCATCTATTGAGACTTCATCCCAACTGACCTCACCCACCCCGCCTCAGGCCCTACTTCCTTCAGTCTCTGTAAAAGTTGCTTAAAACCCATCTTGGGTGCTGGCATCTCAATTTCCTGATCTTGCAAACTAAGACAATATCCCACCTTGACATGATGGTGATTAATGAACTCCATTCTGCCCAATGTTCCTTACCCTCATTTGGAGCAAGTTGCTGGGTAAGCAGAAAGCTCTCTGCTTTTACACACTTTCAAGAGATGTTTATACAATCCTGCTGATTATAATTTACCAGTGACTCCTGCTGTAAACATCTGTGCTGCTTCCCAGGGACTGTGGTGGGAGCAAGGCCAGGAAGGCAGCCTGGAGCCCAGAGAAGTTGCACAGGAGTCAGAACACCAACAGGAGTAAGACCAGCCTTACTTAGGTCAGTTACAGATGACCTCCTCGGAGTCACTGGCCATGGGTGGGAACCATGCAAGTGGCATCACTGGGAATAACAGGTGTATATTACTGTACACAGACATTGTGCTAGGATCACAGGTGTGTACCATGGTGCCCAGCCATTGGTTGACATGGAGTCTTGCAAACGTTTTTGCCCTGACTGGCTTGAACCATGACCTACCATCTCCACCTTCTGAGTAGCCAGGATTACAGGCTGGAGCCACCACAGCCCAGTTGTATTCTTTTTATCTAGGCAGGAAATTTCCTTGCAAATGAATGCACTGTGCTTTGTGCGAATGCTTCTGGTAGAACTGGTCATCCTTTCGATGTTAATTGGGCCTAGAGACCTGGCTACCAGCACTTACAGCAGAGAAGAGAGCATACTGGGTCATCTTCCTGCGCCGATCCCACCATTCTTGGCATCTCAAGGGCACTGGATTGTCCCCAAGGCACACCAAACAATGTTGGCCAAACATTCGGGGTGACAGGGGTAAGCCACCAGTGCCTGGCTCCATCTCAGATTCTAAATAAGAGAAATTTCCATTTGTGAATTAACTGTATTATACAACAACAGCCAGGTGCTGGTGGATCATACCTGTAATCCCAGCTACTCAAGAGGCTGAGATCTGAGGAACACAGTCTGTGAGACTCTTACCTCCAATGAACCACTGAAAAACCAGAAGTAGA